CTGACTGAAAACCTTTATCTTTTCTCCCCAATCAAGTTGCATGTGTTTAAGCACGCCAGACTTCTTCAATAAACCAGACTGTAATCACTTTGAAGTGGAGCATGCTTCAAGCTTTACAAAGAACCAGCTGTCCATGATGAAGCAGAAACCCTGGTGTGGTGTGGTGAGTCAGACTCCATTTCTTTCCCATTTCTTGTTGTTAGATCATAGCACAGCTCTGGAAGAGAATAGGGTTCCTGTAGCACTGCAGATGGGTCTGTGTACACCCCAGAGCAGTGCTGACCTGTGGATAACACACTGTGAGCTTGTTAATGAAAAAGAGCAAAGCACTTTCACTCACAGGACAAAGCATTTACACCCCTCCAGAGCTGCTGCCTCAAAAGGAAGTGYCCCAATTCCTAATTTGAGATTAGTGACTTGATATCAATGCTTATCCCTGTCTCCTTCTTCCTTTTTATCTTCTATTACAGGAATTTTCCATCCTCTGTCACCCTTCCATCCGCCAACCATTGAAAAAGTGTTGCTGGTTATTTGAAAAACAAACATGTCTATCCCGTAAATCAGGACACACATATTAACAAACTTATTAGAATGGAAACAAATATTATAATGCCAGTTTTTTAATCAGAGCTGTGTTTTACACAGAGACCAAACTGGGAGTTCAAAAATGCTGAAATAAATCTAATGTTTAACATCAGGATTAAGAAGCAGCAAAATCCCAGATTTCCAGAGCTTCCATTCAACAGTAGGTAYTGCTTTGGATGAAAGATGCCTGGAGCACACATGTGGAAGGCAGAARTATAGAATGCTTTGCTGTTTTGTCTGCTTCTCAAGAATGTTTTTTCCTACCAGACAATAGCACATGAGAAAGATGCATTTTGAATTGCAAATTGGATCAACCAAACCCTGTTCTGGCATCTTGTATTTATTATCTGACAAAAGCAGAAATCGGGATTAACTGAGTGCTGAATTGAGATTCTATTTTTTTTTCCATTAATTAGTTGGCTCTTTGTGTCTAAATTTACAAGCTAAACAATATGTTATGCTGCTCAGTTTAACTTCCATGTCACTATAATTTTCCAGTATTCCAATTAAAAGTATAAATTTTGGATGGTCAGTTACTCTTTTAACTTTCCTGGTTTGTTGTGTGCTTATAAACATGGAATTTTGTTTAGTTCTTTAAGCATTTCTGCCATTTCACAAATATAACCTTCTGCTCTCTTGCATACTGTAAATAAAGAAACCCTGTTTCTTYTCCCCCTTCTTCATGGAGGAATTCTGAAACAATTCTTTTGTTATGGGGGAAATGCTCATAGGAACTATAATATATTTAATGTACAATACTCTCAAAGCTGCATTGTTTTTTTGTTCTACCCATGCTTTATGCAATGATAGTTTATCCATCTTTTCCAGGCCTAGACTAAATAGTCTTCCTTGGACTCTGTGGGYGTCATGCTGCTGGAAATTCTGGCAGGGAACATCAAAAGGCTCAACCTCCAGCTGATACCATGGTGGCTTGGAAACAGCACCCTGGAAGCTCTTATAATCTTTATGCCAGATGCTTCACAGAAACTAAGCAGCTCATGGAGCTTTGCTGAGAAAGAGARAAGAGCTTCTGGTATGTTCTGGTAAGGCAAATAGCAAATAATCTCCTTCAGTACCTGTGTTCAATGTACCTGTGTTCAATTGATAATGGACCCTGTTGCTTCCCTGTCYTTATTCCCTTGAAGGGCCATAACTCTGCTATACCAATTAGTAAATGGAATTATCTGCAGAAAAGTTACAGACACTGAAATCTGCTTTTCCAAGGGATTGAAACTAAACGGTAACCCCTCTGAAAATTCAAAGTTAAATCCTGGCCCAGTTTTTCCTTGGGACTACCAACTGTGCCAAAGTCATTACTTGTTGGATGGCTGTTAAATCTGCTGCTTGATGGTTCCCTGGGATCATTTCTGTGTTCCTTCAAAGTACTTCTTTACACAAAGTAAAGCTTGGCCTTTGTTCCTTAGGACAGAATAAGGAACAGGGAAATTGAGATGAGCACTTTGTGCTTCTGAACCTTGTTGTGCCTTCCAAATTGTCTGTTCCCAGCTTATATCCATCTATATGTTATTTTCCCACACTGTATTTGCTTTTAATCCAAGCCTTTTGCAGTCAATACCAGCCAYAGATGTAACATAAGGATCTGCTTGTCTAAACTGGGTGTTAAGAAAAGGCAGGAGAGAACAGAGACAAAATCAACAAAAAATACAATCACACTTCAGCAACCAGGTTAGACTGAAAGGTATTTATTTAGAAACAACAGCTTTGGTATCTTAAAACCAAACAACCTGTAAGTCACTAGAAAGTGGGATGYCTTCCCCCCATAGCCAAAACAGATCAATGCATGAAGTCTCAATAGGCTTAAAATAGGAAACCTGCAGATCAGCAATTCCAAGTGTATATCTAGAAAACAAGTTCTTTAAATTGATTTTGCACTCTACAGTCATAAAGGCTGAATAACCTATTATGAGAACTTTAAATATCTACAGTTCAACTGACTCTTACTGAAGTGGAGGAAAAATTATTACACATACTCCCCCTCCCCCCAAGCAATAAATTAAAAACTGTATACCAGAAAGGAAGTTACACTAAAGTTTTCTAGTTAACTCTCTGAAGGGAATCATCATCCTTTATTTTACTGTATAATTAAAAAAGAAAAAATCAAAATATCAAAGGACTTAGTATATCTTCAAGTATTTTCACCAAATGGATTACTGTTAGGGAACTGAAGAGCTTACAGGGAAAGGAAACATCTGTTACACAAGCCTCTGGGATAAACTATTCAATCACCACACCTTCCAASTCGCAGATTCCTGTCATGGCAAGGCACAAAAGGATTGTTGCTTTCAAATGGTCCTCGTTCTCAGCTGCAAAATTGTCAGGTGTCTTGTGCAAATGGAGGCTGAAAGCAGGACTAAGTTCACTTGGACACAGGGATGTTCCCATTCAATTAATGGAACAGGGTGTTATTCCAACACCATCCATCTTGCTTACTGCTACAGATTCTGAGTTTCAGCTGGCTTCCACTTCTTCCCTGTTTCTGGAATCAAGTTCTGCATCACCTTCATTTGAAGYAGGTCCAATTAAGACGAGGCAGCAGAGTTGTTTGCTCTGCAGCCCCAGGAGGATGAGGTGTCAGGTGAGCCCTGGGCTGTGGCTGTGAAGCTTCTGGGCACTTCAGCGAGCAGAGTCGGCGACAGTCACCTGCAGCAATGGTTAACAAGTCACTTGGTAAAAGGCAGAAGGCAAGGCTTGGAGATGACAAAGGCAACTGGAGAGACAACAGTGAAAGGACAGAATGACATAATTCCAAGGACATGTTTTGGGTGCATGTCAGGGCACAGCTGTTACACAATAACTGACATCACCTCCTAATGCCTTCCTCCCTTTRCACCGAGGTTTTGATCATGATCAGAGGCTTCTAACTGCAGTTGTCTGATATACATTCCTRTCCTACCTCTTCCTAAATTAGTCTGTTAACCTACAAGCACCTCCYACTCATTCTCTCATCAGATCACAGGTATTCAGACCTGCTTGATCTCCAGTGCTCAACATGACAAAGCCAGAGAGCTGACAGGAAATTTCCAACTCACTTTACACACCCCTTACATACCAATTGTCAAGTTTACTTCAATACCTTCTGTTCAGCCTTAGCTATCCAAAATTGAATTTGTTTTTATAATTTGGAATAACAGGGCAATCTAAAGCTAGAACTTTTCCTCTGACAGCTCTATTTAACTACCACCTCCTTTTTTTCTTAAACATAACCTACATTTAACTCTGTTCACCCCTCAGGAGGGAAGCCTCTGAACAGCACAACTAGCTCACACAGCAAATCCAGTCTGGTCTAGCATTTCCACTTCATATCAACACACAATCAGGAAGTCCCTGCAGTAAGAGCAGAGCTCACCATACATTTTCTATTCTGTGCTAAGTTTTGACAGCAAGTAAGTTTTCCAAGGCAACTCAAAACAACTTGAAATTCTTTACACCCAGGTAAGATGCATGAGAGCTTGAAGCCAGAACCTTCAAATTACAGTAGAAAGCACTCAGTACTTTCCTTTAACACAGCCTTGTATTTTGTCTGACTGGGAGAAACACCAATTCAGCATCTTCCCAAAATGATGGTGTTTAAAGAGTTTGACAGAGGACTGCACAGTGACTATAAAATAAACATGCACCATGAGTCCCAGCAAGTCAGCAGCTTCACCTCAGAACCCCAGTGCACCTTTGGGTGTTGCTGTGTGACATGTCACACATTTAGRGCAGGCACACAGGTATGCAGGTCTCCACACAGCAGTACAAACATGTACAGCAGCTCTCTCAGAACTTTCTGGTACTGAATAGCAAGAAACATCAACTCATGACACAACTGCACCTGCTGGCCTAGAAACCAGAAATGTCCTACACTGATGTGTGAAAAAAGGA